AATCACATGGAATCACAGAATCACAGAATCAGCTTTTTCCCCCTTGGGAAAATGACAATTTTTGCAATAACTCACGGATGGCTCGGCCGATCATGCTCATCTTCGAACTCGACCGAGACATTGTTAAGACTGAACTGTGTAGAAAATTTCATCGCGATTGGACTCTCCTTTCAAAAGTTATCGTGTTAACGGCCGGACATGCTGACCGATTCTAGAGTGTACTCACTTTTTGAGTACACAAAAACTGAGTCTTCATATCGTAAAATTTTTTTTCCAAAAAATCTCTCCTTTTTTGAAATCAAGTTTTTGTCATTGTAAGTCTTTTTTTCAATACAGTAATTATGGGGGGGGGAGAACTTTAATACAGTGGATCTTGTAGAGGAGTTCGCGCTCTACAAAATTCCTATAAAGGTTTTGAGAAAAAAGTTTCAGAAAGGACCCAAAAACAGTGACGAAACACCAATCCATGACATAAATTTGTGCTTTTTTGCCTCATATTTACCAGATATCGGTTAGAAAAATAATGATTTGACCAAAACTAATATCATATTCTGAATCAGCACAAAAAACTGAGTCGATCTATGTGTATCTCAAATAGTTCTGAGTCATTTTATTTTTCATCAAAAAAATTCCCCCTACTCCCCCTCAACGAGTAATTGAACCCTGAGGGGAAGTAAGGGAAAATATTTTGATGAAAAATGAAATGTCTCAGAACTATTTGAAATATACATGAATCGATTCAGTTTTTTGTGCTGATTCAGAATGTGATATTCGTTTTGGTGAAATCATTATTTTTCTAGTCGATATCTGCTAAATACGAGGCAGAACTGAACTCTGAGGGGGAGGGGGGAGTAGGGCGAATTTTTTTGATGAAAAATAAAATGTTTCAGAACTATTTGAGATACACACAGATCGACTCAGGTTTTTGTGCTGATTCAGAATATGATATTAGTTTTGGTCAAATCATTATTTTTCTAACCGAAATCTGGTAAATATGAGGCAAAAAGGCACAAATGTATGTCATGGATTGGTATTTCGTCACTGTTTTTGGGTCCTTTTTGGAATTTTTTTCTCAAAACCTTTATAGAGATTTTGTAGAGCGCGAACTCCTCTACAAGATCTACTGTATTAAAGTTTCCCGCCGATAATTACTGTATTGAAAAAAAGACTTACAATGACAAAAACTTGATTTCAAAAAAGGAGAGATTTTTTGGAAAAAAAATTTTACGATATGAAGACTCAGTTTTTTAGGAATCTGTAAGTGGTTTTTTATTCAATTTTTTACGCTCTTTTGAATGAGACATTGCCCAACCTGAATGAACAAAAAATGACGGAGATATAAGCAAAACAATACAACTAGTCTTTTTTCCTGATGTTCTAGACCCCTCTCGTGTTTCAATGCCTGTAACTCTGTCAAATTACATCATAGAAGCCTAAAAATTTTTTCGTAATCTCAGTTTTGTATGAGGAACCGATTGATATAAAAAAAGTATATGTTAATTTTTTTCGTAATATGGCCCTATGGCACAATGCTCAACCCTCTCATCCGGTCTCTCTTAATTAAAGCATTCTTTTTAGTTAAGCATGTAATTATCAATCTATCTCGTTGTTGACTATTTATATTCAAATTCTCAGAGGATCTGACTCTTTATTCAGAAGAAAAAACATTGTTTTTTTCTGTTGGCTTGGATAATGCCTTTTATTGCTTCCATAAATAAGCTCTAGTAAGATCTCTTCTCCCTACTTTTGTTGCGTGTAGAAGAAAAAAAATGAAAATGAAATACAATTATAGTAGCTTTTATTAAAGAAAAAAAAATATACAAGAAGAGCAAGCGAAACTAAATAAGCGCTCGAATAAGATACTCAAAATTTTAGTGATAATGATAATTTATAAAAAGTGGGCGAAACAAAGTTCTTTTTGGCACCATGAACACCGAATCATTTGACAATTAATACAATTTTTTTCAAAACATTTATCCGTTTCAAAGTTTCATCCACTGTTTTATAAATTATCATTATCATTAAAGTTTTGAGTATCTTGTTCGAACGCTTATTTAGTTTCGCTTGCTCTTCTTGTATGTTTTTTTTTCTTTAATAAAAGTTACTATAATTATATTTCATTTTCATTTTTTTTCTTCTACACGCAACTAAAGTAGGGAGAATAGATCTTACTAGAGCTTATTTATGGAAGGAATAAAAGGCATTATCCAAGCCAACAGAAAAAAACAATGTTTTTTCTTCTGAATAAAGAGTCAAATCATCTGAGAATTTGAATATGAATAGTCAATAACGAGATAGATTGATAATTACATGTATAACTAGAAAGAATGCTTTAATTAAGATACAAAAAAATCCACCGATGAAAGTGGCGCCATCTACTATGGTACTAGTTTACCTCGTAACTCCCGAAAGAAGCAGCATGGTCACGAACCCTTGTAGATAATGTATAGACATGATCACCTCTAGCTACCCACGAAATATCAGCACGAACGATACGAATCACCTGGGAATGTTTCTTCGTTAGTTTTTTTAATGTTCCTGAGGGGGACCACAGCTTTTTTTCGTAAACATATAGTAAAAATACAAAATCTCGGCAGTAATAAGCTAGCGACATGAACTTTTTTCAGAGTATTCATAGATCATTAGGACCTACAGGATGCAAATATGCTTGATTCAAAAGCGATGTGACAGTTGAGAATGTTCCCTCGTGAGTTGAATTTCGGTCAAAAAACAATGAATTATTTTTTGTCGGCGGTAATAGATATTTTATATTCTTGTATTTGCCCGAAATTGGTTGTATTACCTGATAAAATGGATGATGAAACTACAATTCATCGATCAGAATATTCTGAACAACGTAAAGTATATTATCATGCAAAAAGTCCAACAAATTATGCATTCAAAGTGCAAATAGCTTGTGATTTTCATCTTCGAATAGTACATGTACCCAGGTATTATCTAGGTAGTCTGCATGATATTATGATTTTAAGAGAATCAGGTTTGTTAGAACATACACAAGAAGATGTACAAATTATTACTGATAAAGAATATATAAGTGAACAATATATTTATTACTTCGAAAAAAAACCTTGTGGTGGTCATTTAACAGCTAAAGATAAAGATTTCAATCGATCTATTTGCAGC